GCTCCCAGAATCCCCCAGCCTGCCTGCTTTAGTCTGCCTGGACTTCACCTCCCAGAATCCCCCAGCCTGCCTGCTTTAGTCTGCCTGGACTTCAGCTCCCAGAATCCCCCAGCCTGCCTGCTTTAGTCTGCCTGGACTTCAGCTCCCAGAATTCCTCCGGCTTGCCTGCTTTAGTCTGCCTGGACTTCAGCTCCCAGAATCCCCCAGCCTGCCTGCTTTAGTCTGCCTGGACTTCAACTCCCAGAATCCCCCAGCCTGCCTGCGTTTGTCTGCCTGGACTTCAACTCCCAGAATCCCCCAGCCTGCCTGCTTTAATCTGCCTGGACTTCAACTCCCAGAATCCCCTAGCCACCTAGGGTTTACTGGAATTCAGCATGGATAGTACAAGAACAAATATCACTTTTTTTTTTGATAGAGTAACTTTCGTAGTAGATAGTGGGAATGCGGTAGACATATCTTGAAAGTGGAAAAAATAACTACATTAAGCTAAATTAATAAACAAATCAATAAACAAATTGTGACTGGATGGCAGGATAATTATAATGGATACCTGGATTCTCCTGGCTGAGGAATTCTGGGAGTTGAATTCCATCTCGGTGAAGTTAAAAAACATGGTTTTAACACAGTTTTTTCCCCAGGAGTTTGGGAATCTCCTGCAAAGAATTCTGGGCAATGGAGTCCCATCTCCAAATGGAGGCAGCCAGCTTGGTTGAAAACGAGAAGCAGACTTGGAAGGGACCTTAGAGGTCATCTAGTCCAACCCCCCCCCCCGCCCAAGCAGGAGACCCTACCTGTACCATTTCTGACAAAATGGCAGTCCAGTCTCTTCTTGAAAGCTTGAAGTGATGATGAAACAGAAGAACTACGACCATCAACTCATTCGATTTATTTGTTTGAAAAAAATAATTTTTATGAAACAATTTTTCTTATATACAACGTTATTTCCATTCATTGCAATGCTTCGGTGACGGTATACATACTTTTACATAAATCTTACACCTATCTGTACATTTATCTATATTCCCTAACCTATCTTTGTCCACTATAACCTTTGCCTTATTATTCTATTGTCGTCTTCTCTATTCACCTCTATATCTATTATTTAGCCAATCGTACAGTGCATTCCATGTCAGGTAATAATCAATTTCCTCTCTATCCTTTATCTCCATGGTCAACTTATCCGTCTCGATGCTCTCTAGTATCTTTTTACATCACATTTTCCTCTAGTGGCATACAGTTTTTAATCCAATTTTATGCGGAAGTTAATTCTGTTATTAGATGTATTATTAGATGTGTATTAATAGATGTAGCAATACATACTCTGTTTTCTTTTTTCATTTTTTTTTTATAAACAAAAAAATCCATTCCATTTCAATCGTGTGTCGATTCGGTACATATTTCAAATTACTTATCCATTATTAATAAGATTCTTCTTATTCATGTTAACAACATAATAATAATAATAATCACATTCCCATATACATAGTATAAATGAGATCCAATATACCTCTTACATTAATTCCTCTTATTATTTTATAACTACATCTAATCCTTTTTCGTTTATTCTATTTTCTATCCATTGGTAAAACAAATCCCATATCATATAATATTCAGATTCTTCATTTTTTTTAATTTCTAGTGTCAACCTATTCATTTCTGCACATTCAAATATTTTTTCAATTATTTTTCCTTCTATTGGCATCTTATCACTCTTCCAGTTTTGGGCAAATACAATTCTAGATGCTGTTAAAACACGTATAATGAAATAAGTCTTTTCTTTACGATAACCTTCTGGTACCGTTCCTAGCAAAAAACACTTCAGGCTTCAAATCTGTGTGTTGTTTAATCATTTTCTCCAGCCATATATGTATCTTAGTCCAATATCTTTTAGCTTCCGTGCAAGTCTACCACACGATAATATGTTCCTGGTATTTGATGACATTTTCAACATTTAATTGATTTTTCTTTAAACATTTTTTGCTAATTTTGCTGGCGCTAAAAGCCATCTATAATACATTTTGTGCAAATTCTCTTATCGCTGTCAATATTGTCAGTTCATAATTTCTGTCCCACAGTTTCTGCCATTTATCCAATTTTATGGCATAACCAAAATATTTTGCTCAAGCTATCAGCACTTCTTTAGCTTGCTTTTCTACTCTGTTTTCTTATCATATTTTCCCGTTATTAGACCTAATTGAAAATTTTCCGGTCTTAGTTCAATTTGCTGTTTAATTATTTCTTCTGTTTCTTTGCACCATTTTTTTTTGTCCTTATCCAGTTTTTTTTCTCGCTACAGGGCATGTCCACCACATGGGGTTATATGTCGCTTGTATTTTTGGTTGGATTTTCAACATTCAGACGGTCTGTCCCAACTCATTTTAATTTCCTCCACGTTGCAGTTGTTGCAAAAGTGCCCCGCCCCGCCCCGCCACCTCTAATACCTTCTGTGGCTGCTTGTTCATAAACGTGGCAAAGCAAGAACGGAAATTGCAAGATGCGTCGGGTGTTGTGACTCTGTGGCCACGACTCTGCTTCGAATCCCTACGCGTTCGTGCTCAGCATATCTTTTGCAGTGGTTTCTGACCCGCCCTGGCTGACATATTTCCTTCCTTTCTCTCCCCATCCCCCACCCCCCAAAAAATAAATCCCCACTTCAGGGCCGCTGTTGAGACCGTGGAACTAGAAGTGTCGATTTTGGAGACCCAGTTGGAAAAGGTGAGCAGGTGACGCACCTGATTTTTGCACGCTGGCAAAGGGACAACGGCCGTGTCAGGTTTAAGAGCACACCTGGGCTTTGCACCAAATACTTTGCAAACTGTTCGTCTGTTTCCCCTCCCCAGGAGAAAAATCCAGAAGTTGCAGAATTGCACACAAGGAAGAGAACATAACAAAAAATATTTTGTTTATAGGTCTTTAAACGCCTGTGGCTGCTTCTGGATTGCACCACCTGACACCGCAGGAGAGCAATTTCCTGTCTAAAGCAAAATTTCTCCCAGAACTGTCCAGATCCTTTGTGATCTTTCAGATCCTAAAGGGTGTTTCTTCAATGCTCCCAGAATTCCCCAGCCGGTCAGGGTTTCCTGGAATTCAGCATAGAAAAGGGCAAGAATAATTATCACCCTTTTTTTTCCTCTCCCCCTCAAACTGGGCAGCTTTTTCAATAGACGGTGAGAATGCAGTAGATGTAATTAATATATCTTGACTTCAGCAAAGCTGAGAAAAATAACTCGTGACAAGCTGAATTAATAAAACGAGTGAAAAGTGCGTCGGATGGCAGCCCATCCGGGCGCCAGTTCCACAGCCACCGCGAGAGTTTTGCATCGGGGCTGAAGGAGTTTTCCCAGAATTCCTCTGGGTAGGAAGGAAGAAGAGAAAGGGAAGAAAGGAGAGTGGAAGAAAAGAGAGAGACAGAGAAAAGGAAGGATGGAGGGAAGGAAGGAAGATGGATGGAAGGAAGGAAGGAAGGAAGGAAGGAAGGGAAGGAAGGAAGAGAAGGAAGGAAGAGAAGGAGGAAGGAAGGAGAAGGAGGAAGGAAGGAGAAGGAAGGAAGGAAGGA